GCATCACGGAAAGACAGTGTGGGAAGGGCTGTGTCAGACTCCTCAAATGCAACAGCATTGCCAGGCAATGGACACATGCCAGGAGTACATCAGTGCAGCTTCTTTCCTAAAAGGATATTTTTTAAACATTAAAAACAAACAAACAACAACAAAAAAAAAACCCCATAATATTTCTAATATTTACTCATTTCTGAATGGAGGAAGAAGCTTCACACTATCAGGTAACTGTGTCACAAAACTTAGGTAAATGAGGAAAGATGTGTACCTGATATGAAACTTAAAAAATAAACAAACAAACAAAAAAAGCAAAACAAAATTATTTCCTGGATATACACATTTGTAACCTTAAACCACCTAGTACTGTTCAATTTAGTTACTACTGAAGTTTTTCCAAATAGTAATTGTCACAGAGGAAAACTACTGATGTGGAATATTTACATTCATTAATTAAATGACATTAATCTATGTTAGGAACTGAGAAGCTAGAACTGTCGAGTACATTCTCAACCCTTCATAAATAAGTGAGGCTAAGAAATTGGCAAAAAAAAAAAAAAAAACCTTAAGAATAAGATATTTCTGCAGCAAGCTCTCTACTAATATTTGCCACTTTAATTAAAAGGAAAAAAAGAAAGCATACAACAAAAAACACAAGGGACTGACTGCAAAATGTTTGAGTACTGACCCAAATTTTACCCAGAATGTTCTAGCTTTACCAGTTGTGAAAGCCACAGTATTGTATTGCGCATACAATAAATTAAAATTAAGAGCTGGACATACTCTTAAGACAGAAATGATTAGGGAAGGAGCCAGAGAGCCAGTTCAACCAGCTGGCTGGAAATCTTTTCTGTTATGGGATGATTCTTTGTACCATCACTTCAATAAAATTCACGGCGCAAGAAGGCTGTCTAGGGAGAAATAACAGCTTCTGCCTCTCTGAAGATCACAGAAGGCAAATGCAGTATGGCTCAGACAACGATCTAAAAACTGAAAGCGTAAAGACTGGCTTAGCACTTACGCTATTTTATGTATGAAATTATGCTACATGGTATCCAGACAAACTAGAACTTTGCTCACTTCAGTCCTTTATTTCCTTACTTAGTGCTGTATCCTGTGTCACAGATCTGGTACACAGAAACGCAAGAGCTTTGACACTTTGATATTTGTTAAGCCCCATCAGAGGTCGATATTGGTGCTGAGAAATATACTGTTTTTATTTTCAGCTTCATGAGTAACTCTAGAAAGTTACATTTATTCAGTCTGACACCTAATCAGAATCCCATGGCTATCCCAAGTAGAAATGTCATCAGCTTTCTCAGTGGTCATTTGTAGTCAGAAATAATGCTTTCAGGCTTGTCTGGAATGACTCAACTACCATTGCCTAGATTAACACTAAATATTTCTCTTTTTTAGTCATACCGATATGCAATTGCACTATAATAGATGCAATCCAATGAAAAAAAAATGGTAAGGATAGCAGAAGGAATTTTTATTTTAGAAGAACTTTTGCAAATGTTTTCTCATAGAGGTTTAATTATATCATTCAACAGAAACACTGAATCTGTCACATTTGAAAAAAGACACTTGATAATCCTACATTCCTTTGTGAAACTTCCCAGGTTGGAGCCTCCTCACACTGAGCTTCTATCACTGTAGCAGCTCTGTGCCCACCACACACAACTATTTATAATATAACTGAGTTGTTGAGACAGTTCTCTTTATACCTTTTCTTCTCAAATGACAATGCCATGAGGTTGTATTAATCATTACAGATAATTTGGTGAGAATGAGACATGAGACTGACCTTGTGCTTCTCCTCCCACCTGAAATCAGTCCATCTGACCACCCAAGACATCTGTCATGCCAGGAAACTTCAGACAACTGAAAGTGCATAAGCTAGATATAAAATCTTTTTCCTACTCACATAAATTGAGCAATTCTGAGTGCACAGTCTGCCCTGAAGAACTGTATTAGTTTTCTATTTTTAAGCTGAATTCAAAATTCTTAGGATGGAGAATGCCTACTGTGCCTGTGTTTCAATTCAATTTATATTGCTATCTTCAGTGAAGCCATCTGCAGTATGAGTGCAAATAAAAAGCAAATTTACCACCCACATTCCTGAAATTCATAGTGTGTGGTATTTCACACATTTAATGTGACTGCCCCAAATGTCACCTTAAAGGTAAACAAGCCAATTTTTAAATATCAAGTACAGCATATAGTTGCAATCTGTGACAATAAAATCTGGGTTTACAGAGGGAAAAAGCCACGCAAAGGTAAAACATAATTGTAATTTTTCAGATGAAAAACTTTTTTAGATGAAAACTAGGAAAGTTGCTCCTCAAAAAAAGTTTTATAAATTTTAAAATAATCTTCATACTTTGATTTGTAAAGACAGAAAACTGTTTTAAGTATACCTGCATCCCTATCCAAATATATGGAATTCAGTAATTTAAAAGAGCAGTTTTCCAGACTGGAATCCAAGATGTTTTTCAGTACTTTTAAACTGCTTACTGCATCTTTTTGTTTCTAAACTCAGAGGGCAGCACTAAGGGTAATGTAAACAAGTGTACTAAATCACATCATCTGACTGCACAAAATTCATTTCAACTTCTTTCACGGGAAAGAATTACAAAGTTAATGACACAAAGAAGAAAACAGGCAGAGAGCTGAAGACATTTTACATAAAATGAAGACAAGTAATAATATATTTGAATGAAACTATTTGTTTGAACAAGAGAAAATAGTAAGTTTAAGAAATTTCAGAACAGAATCTAGATTGGCATAAAATCTAATATCTGATCATGGAGGCAGCCTACTGTGTAATCTAAGAAGGTAATGCTATGTGACTATTACCTCAAAAAATTAAAATTATATTTTTCAAGTTACATTGTGTCTGTCAGTGCTGTTATTACTGTGCTCTGTTCAATTACATGAAGATAGATAGAAAAGGAACAAGATTTGGGACTGAGGGTAGTATAACCAAGGAAACCATCATTGAATATTTTGTGTTAGTCTTATTTTTTTTAAATATTATTTTTATTTCATTATTTCATATATACATATAGGATGTCTTATATAATGTTTATAATATTGATTTTATCATTATTGTTATTATTATTATACTAGAACGATTCAAATGATTGTCAGGGAAGTTTTATTATTATTTCTAAAAATGAATTTACTGTTTCATTAGAAAGTTTTCAACCATTAATTTCTTTTCAATAAGACAACAATTGTTTTTGATTGAAAACTGATAAAGAGAAAGAATTATACCTGCAAGTTTTTCTTACTCTCTCTTTTATTTCCAAAGTCACCTTAGAGGAAAAACAGCAAGGATTGTATCTAACAACCCATTAACAAAATATAATTTCTTACAGATATGGATTTGTAGATACTTAGAACATAAATTTGTAGGAAAATGACCTTGCATTGCATCTGCACTACAGTTAATTACACATGAAAATGCACTTAACTAGTCAGAAATCCAACTGTGACTGTTGCCACCATTACACACTTGTTACATGCAACAAAAAATCTAAACATTTATTTGGTAGAGAGAACAAGAAAGTGAGAGTGTATTATATATAAAATTATCCATACTACTATACATCAAAACAGCCCAATTCTTAGCAGTGTAAATTTGCAGTATTGAGAGATGCAGTAAAAGTGCCATTCTAAATTATATTTCATTAATTATACTTCACAGAATGATTGTCAGGCATGATGTAAGACAACAGATCACAGCACTGAAAATCTGTTACATTATTTGAACTAGATATTTTGCTGTAATTTTCCATTAGCACAGTAAATTAAATGGAAAATAATAAGATGTATTCTCCCTCTCATTTGTCTCTTCTTTAGTTTATAGCATTTGTTATATAATAAAAGCTATCATGTCCACATTTGAAGAGGAATCTCTGCATATATTTTCAGAATACAGCCATGTGTGTCACAGAGTGAGTTGCTATGATTTCAACTGTTCCATCTAATTAAAAATACAGACACAAGGAATAACTACATCCCATCACATCATTCTATGTCAAACACTATTATAAAGCAGACATAAAATTATTATTCACTAAGTGAATCATTGGTGGAGATGGAAATTGTCTTGCATTCCTAGCTCCACTTTTGAAAGGATTAATTCAAATGTATGTGTATTTCCATTGAAATACATCTACTGCTTTACGCATAGACATACATGGCAACTACTAAAGTGTCTGAGGAAACTAATCTAACATCTAGAGGCATCTTCGTACAGGAGGTATAGGTAAGTTCTTAGTTACAATATGAACCCAGCTTACATTTAACTTTTCTTTAGAAATAAATTAATCTTCTGAGCATAATGATTTACCTGAAAAATAGTAGAGAACAACCATAAACCTGTTTTATTTGACACACATGTGAAAAACCCAATCTGATCAGCACAAAATCCAGTGCTTCTTGTGTCAAGTCCATAATTCTAGTTTAATTATAGAACAAGTTTCAACACCAGAAAACTGTCCCTTTACTAGTTAAGACACTCAGTTTCATAATTAGCCTCACAGGGAAAGATGGGTGGCTTTGTTCTAGACCAAAGCTGTTCAGATTCAGATTTTTGAGACCTACTTTTGCCTTTGGTTGATGAACAACAAAACACATTGAAAATACTCACAGTGAGAAGATACATTCTATATTATTTAACTACCTGTGATTCCACTTGATAGTGCAAGGATTGCAGTAAAGCAAGAAAAATGCTATTAGCATTTAATTCTGAATGGCTAATGCACTTTTGTACCACTTGACAACAGTGAGTTACAAAGTGCAAACATTAAATATGTTTTACATTTTTTTTAAATGAATATTATATAGTTAGACAGCTCTAAGTGCCCAGAAAGTTCAATAATAATAATAAAAAAGAATATATTATACACATACCAAAATGCTTTTATTTCTGTATTTAAATATTCCACATCATACTACTGTACTTAATAAAAGAAAGTCTTTCATATATTACTTACTTTTTTGTCTTCATTATATTTATGGAATATTTCTTGCGCTCTTTCTTCACCGCCATCCGTAAACAACATTATAATCTTATTGCAGTTAGCTCTAGAAACACTGTGCTGTAGAAATACAAACAGAAGCTTATATTTTATTTCAAGCTATAAAGAATAACAATTGTTCTATTTGATGGCTTTCACATAAAAATGTTTATTACTTTAACAGAAGGAAAAATTTCTGCACTTTGGGAGTAATGAAAATACTTACAAAGTCTTCCAGCATTTCATTCAGTACCTCCTTCCAAAAAATTAAAAAAATAAAAAGCACCAAAAAAGACTTTTTTTTCATTGTATGAGAGCTAAGCCCAACAGTTCTAGGATCTGTTCAGAGGAATGAGGATCACCACCAAACTTTGACACCATCTCCACAGCATAGCTATACAGATGCTCTGCATCATTACAGTGATCTGAGATTTGTATGTGACAGCCTCTGTATATTTTTAATTTTCTCTTTTCCATCCCTAATGTCATTTTGGAAATTTGGAAACAATAGTCTTCTAATGAATAACTGAATGTGAAATGAATTACTAAATATGAATTACTGAGTATGCACTCAAAAAAAAAAAAAAAAAAAAAAAAAGAACATGCGTTTTTTTTTTTTTCTGCTCTACTCCTGCTCAAAGACTCTTCATTATTTCTTGAGAAGGAGCCTGGAACAAAGAGAATTGAGGAGAAACCCCTTTGACTCCTTATTCAGCAGTCAAAGTAACTAGTAAAGCCACTGGGAAAAACATAATGTACTATGCAAAGAAATAAAAGTGGAGTTCCAAAGCCAGAACAAGAAAGAAATGAAGGAATTTTGGCTCCTTACAAAGGAGCCACAGGCTCCTCTGCTGGCACTCATCACAGTTCCTCATTGCCTGAAAAGTTCTATCTAGTCTAAACAATCCTTTCTTAAGTTGTGCAGCCAGCATTCCCTGTACTCCGTGTTGCACACAAGAGATCCTACCCAGGCATGGTCTGGTACTTCTGAGTAGATGCATGTGAAGGAGTAAAACATTTAGAAATTCTGCGGAATAAAATGAACGTTGCCCCTCATAAGCTACATTTTGCTATATTGATTCACTGTACATTCAGACAGAGAAAAATAGCAGGGTGATCTTTCCACAGAACCAAATCCTCCCTTACTTTAGTCTTTGTAAATAGAATAAATGACTAACTTTCACCTAGCTAGTCAGGTGAGATGATCCCACTCCCCTTCATTACTTTTCATCCTGCTCTCTGATACGACTCGGTGTTCTGTAACAGAGACCCAACACCAAACACTCAAACATCAGCCAGTTATACCTAATATTGCAGCTCCAAGTTCTACCAGCAAATTAAAATCAAAATATTATCAGCAGTCACTATACTCATAGATGAGTAAGTTTGCCTCAGAAATGTTCTGTATTGGTAGGTCAATGTCCAGGGAATTAGTACTTATTTAATCAATAAACAAACAAGCAAATAAACAATAACAACAAAAAGCAAATCAAATGATTTTCCTTCATACAGTAACAAAAAATCCCTTGAAATCAATACATTCCCTTCAGTCTCATTAGCACACTCTTGTTCATTTGGAATTAAACAACTTATGACCCTCTTTTACTTGTGAAATATAACTTACAAGATACTGCTTTGGGTTGCAATATTCTTTTATTAAAAAAGCAATAAAAGTAGAGTGGACACTTCATGAATAAAGGAACTCACGCACACTTACAGTGATTTGATACAAAATCTTAAACCTAGTTTCTTAGCATAAACCTCAAAAGAAAACAAGTTGGAACCAAGACTAAGCACTTGGTTTTAGCTCTATGTTGTTCTTGATTAAGGTCATCTAGATTATTTTACAAATGTAAGCAAGACATTATCTGTTTTATACTGTACTTAAAATTGTGTAATTTTTCTTCTCATGCGTTTTATATCCTTAAAATTAACTCATTAAGAGTCAGGCTGGGATCAAACTTTGTGAATTTTATACCACCTAGAAAGAGAATGTAAAGGAAGGCAAAAATCATCTACCTGAATCAAGAAGAGATGATCAGAAAACAAATCATAGTTAATGTGATATGAAGGAAAAACTCTTGAATTGCTGAAGTTAAAACATTATTTTCTAAGAAACAGTCAGTTAATGTAATAATAAATACTCAAAAAATACCTGAGAACTTATGGAATGATGTTTACTAATATGAAGTTGAATTAGCATGTTAGAAAAACCTGAGGTATTTATTTTAGTCTAGCAGTACATTGAACAGCACGTTTTTTTCATGACACTAGAAAAATATGACTTTGGTATGAAGGAAAACTTTTTGAAGTAACTTTCATCAAGAAATAATACACCTAAATTCCTGCAAAAAATGTAAGATGCTTAAAATATTCAATTACCATTGACCTTAAAGCAGTTGGATTACTTGAAATCATAAATATTACAGGAAACTATCCTAAGCATCTTTTTTATTGCTGGTTTAAGCCTGTATTATATTCACCTAATATATCACTTTGCCATAAGAGTCTGGCATTGTCACCATCAGCAGATTTTTACTCTCCCTGCCGAATGGATTTGTCGATAGCTAGAAAGAATAACTGCATTTCTATTACCTAGCATAACCTTTTAATTTCCTTTGATAAACCCATCCACAATATCCAGTCATAATATACAGGCTTACAGAGATTGTGTGAGACTAATTACAATTCTGTCTTCTGTAGGCAAAGACAAAGTCCCACTACAAAACTAATCCCTAATTATTTTTTAAAGCAATTTTTTTTATCTTAAAACAAGTCCACTATTATAGGCGAATGCGGGACCCCTCCACGGGATGTGACAAGACAGGCCCTCTCCCAGCTCTATGATTGATGTGTGGCATGTGCCTTTAGGGGCGTAGACGAAGCACATAAAGTATATAAGCTAGAGTTCACGCGTAATAAATGCCATTTTGCTGTTCACCATATTGGTGTGTACGTGCAGTTATTTGGTCCTGACCTGGTTAGGGTTAGTAGCGTAGGAGGCAATGCAACAGTCCACTTTGAATCTTCCTGTATTCAAGTCTTCTTTTATGGCCTGAACACAAAGTACTTACATGGTATTACAGCAAACGTAATACAGAATGTTAATCAAACATAAATGCTGTGAGGAACCAGTTGTGTTTGGCAAAATTTATTGTGTCTTCCTGGTTCCTTCTGCGTGAGATGGCAATGGATAGAAATAAAGAAGCAATGTTATTAAGGCTAGTCTGAGAAAGTCTAACGACTTTTTGAATCCCGCAGGCAGATTTGTGCTCCTATCAGCAAACTGCACACAATCATTTTTCCACCAAAGCCCTTTGTTAATCAAAACTGATCTGCTGAGTAAATACTGTGGGAAACAGTGTATTTTCCTTTTCTCTATCAAAATTTCACGAGGTCAGAAAATTTTCAAGTAGTTCTACCCCTAACCCACATATATAATGTCAGAAATGCTCCTTTAAGTCCAAAATCTGGTAGACAAGGAGGACAAAATAAGTAAAGGTGTCTCTACTAAGAGATATCATGGAAAAAAAAATAATAAAAAGAATACATTTCATATTTATTAAGCTAGATCCTTAGATTCTGTAAGTTGGTTTCTGTAAATTTATTTATATTAAGGTTAAAATCAAATATATGTCTTTATGATGATGAAATGTAAAAATTCTCTGGAGCATGAGTCTTATGGGGAGTGGCTGAAGAAATTCGGTTTGCTTAGTCTGAGAAGAAGAAGCTCAGAAATGATCTTATAGCTCTCTATAACTACCTGAAAGGAGGCAGCGGTGAAGTGGGTGTCAGTTTCTTGTCCCAGATAGCTAGCTAAAGGATGAGAGATAATGGCCTCAAGTTGTGCCAAGGTGGTTTAAGTTGGATGTTAGGAAGAATTTATTCTCACAGAGTGGTGAGACATTGGAACTCATTGATCAGGGAGGTGGTGAACTCAATATCCCTGGTTGTTCAAGAAACACATAGACGTGGTTTGGTAGGAAATATTGGTTGTAGGTGGATGGCTTGACTAGATGATCTCAGATATCTTTTCTAACCTTGGTTATTCTATGACTCTAGGATTCTATGAAATATTTTTTAAAACAAAAAGCTACTAAAAGTGACTGATAAAACATTTGTGGTTAATAGGAAACATTACTACTCAGAAATCCAGTGCTTGCATGAAAAGGACGTATAATGAGATCAAAACATGAAGACCAGGCACTCAGTTTTTGAGGAAATTGCTCATTTTGCCCATTGGGTAGAGAAAGTAATTCTCCCAGATACCTACTATCAATTACTGAATAGTCATCTGTTATTTCTGTCCTGCTGAAGCTAAGGTCAATAAATCATGAAACATAATAAATATAAAATTGCATGTATGAATAAAGTAAAAACAGTACTAGTAAAGTGAAAACCAAATCTATTCTCAAACCTTAGCAATCTGTCAAGATTTGGAGGTTCAACAAAGAAAATGACTGTTTACATGACTCTTTACATAGATTGATAGTGATAGATCGATAGTGATAGGGGAATGGTTTTAAACTAAGACAGGGGAGGTTTAGGTTAGATATTAGGAAGAAGTTTTTCACACAGAGAGTGGTGACACATCAGAACAGGTTGCCCAAGGAGGTTGTGGATGCCCCATCCCTGGAGGCATTCAAGGCCAGGCTGGATGTGGTTCTAGGCAGCCTGGTCTGGTGGTTGGCAACCCTGTCCATGGCAAGGGGTTGAAACTAGATGACCCTTGAGGTCCTTTTCATCCCAGGCCATTCTAGGTTTCTATGAAAGGACATATTGTTGGGATAATTTAATTTGCTAAACTAAAGTATCTTACTGATTATCTGTGATGACAGAGGAGCATGCAAATGCCTTCTAAACATTCAAGCTCTCCTAACTCACTTTCAGTAATGGGCGATGACTTTCATACTTACATTCAGCAGCTGTTCAAAAGCGTAGCTAAAGCCTTTTTTGTAATCAGTAATTCCTTTAGCAGAGATTTTATCCACAGCTTCCTTCAGCTTCTTCTTGTTCCTCACATTAGCTTGGACAAGATGATTAAAGCAACTGACATTCTGAGCATTATTGTTAAACTGTGAAATAAATAGAAATATTATTAAAGACACAAATATACAATTCATTTAATTTTCTTTTCTAGATGTGTAAGTAGTAAATGTTAATGTCTGTCTGGTCCAAGATATGAAACGTGACACCTGGATATTAATTTCCACTGTACTGTGAATGTCCATCAGTGTTTGTGATTTCAAAATTGAGCAATAAAGATACTAAAAAAGTCATTTGGTACTTCATTCTTTGTTGCAACCCAATAATTTCTACAATAAGACAACGGAAAAATCCCATGAATTTTGTTTCAAGCTCATATAGTAAAAGAAAAATAGAATTAGGGAAGTCAGAACAGAAATATGAAAAAAAATTATATTAATTTTTAATCACTGAAAATGTTGATTGAATTATCAATTCAATATCAATTTCTATACTGTATTTGTTAATTTATGGCTAGCCTGCTTAATAATAAAACTTCAAGATCGTAATAAATTAAAACTGATAGCTTGTAGAAAGCCAAACACACTCTTGGGAAAAAGGAATAATGAGAGTACAGCTGTAAAAAGGAGAATATTGTTAAGAGCAATGCAAATTTGTGTATTAAGAAAACAAGTATTTAAGCTCTATTAGCAATAATAAAAAAAACAAAACAAACAAACAAACAAAACTATATCCTGAGAAATTCTGTCATCTATGAGCTCGTGATTTTAATTAAAAGCATACAGAGAAAAGTTTTTATGTGCAAAATTATTTCTGCACGATCAGTTTTTGGTCTCTGTATAAAGGTACATACACACGCATGTATATACATACAAGTATGCCTCAGAAGAAAGAGAAAGGTAGAAATATGTTTAGCTTGTTAGCTATCTGAGGTGAAAACTTAGTGAAAAACTTTAAAATAACTTTAAAATCAAGGGGTTGTTTAGGTTTAAATCTCAATACTGTTACTTAGTTCAGTGGGACTGCATAGAAAATAAGGCAAATAAGTTCATGGTGTTCAATAACTGCTCAGACTAGAACTCTTGGATTTTATACTTTCATACTTTAGAAAACTATACATAAGACAATTGAAATTAATATTTGTAATTCTGACTTACACAGAACTTACAAATTCAGTTATATTAAAGGAAAAAAAAACAGTTTTATTCTGCTTTTTGCTTAAAATTAGGTAGCAAATATTACTTTTAGAGCAGGCAACAGAGATTACTAATGAAATATATGAAACTAAATAAAAGGATTTCTGTAACAGAAAAGCACTAAGAATTATATACGTACGGAAAGCATTCTTTATTCACTATGCAGTTGTATGTCAGGAAATAGAAACATTTTTATGTAAAAGACAGAAAGCAGAGACAAAGCAAAACAGCTTAATCACTGAAACACAGAACAGCACAGAGGTATGAGGGATTAATTTTCATAATACACTGACTATAAATACAGCATCACGTATCTAAATAATATCCACTAATAGAAATAAGAGAACAGGCTGTAGTAATGGTTATAAAAATTGTTTTCCAGTACTCCCACTGTCATCATGCATACTTCATTTTTAAAATAAATGAAAATATGGAATTGGATTACAGAGATGCACATTTTCAGTTTGAATATTCTTTTAATGTATTCCACATTTCCCAGAAAAGAAGGATTTTGGTAAGGACTGACTCTCTACTGCTATTAAAGTATAATACTCCCAGCTAGACTCTAGAAGTTTTATTTGTGTGATTTTAAAACCTTTATAATTTATAACACTCTTCCCTAGGACTCAAACAAGTTATGGTCACTCATTTTTCTATTTCCTCTCAGTATCTTGATGTGGTGATACCTACATGCTGTGTTTCAGCAGCACATTTAGCCTGCACAACAAAACCACCAAATGATCACGCAACTGTAATCAATTCACTCTGACGCAAAACACTGACACGCTCAATTGTGCTTCTTGCTGAAGTAGCCAATAAATCACTGCGTGATCATTAGACACACAGGCCATGTGGTAGTGAAAACACAGTGCTGTGAAATTATTTCAGCTTGTCTTGATCTGATTTTGTAAACATGGCACGGAAAAAAAGATACAATTTCAAAAATACAAGTTCTGAAAATAAATTGTAATTGTGAATTGGGATTAGAGTAGAATCACAGGAAGAATAAAAATGCTGTCAAAAAGTATCTCTGCTCTACAAAAGCCCATTTCACCTGAAAAGAAAATTTGAAAACATCTTTATCAGTAACATTTGATACAAATTATTCAATCAGCTGATTTCAATGTTTACTGGTGTTTCATTGAAGGCTTAGTGATAAGTGAAATTTTCTCCCTAAAATGCCACTAACAAAAAAATTCCAAAATTGTCCCCTAGCAGTCCTGCAAATGTTATCAAGGCAAGTATTTCTATGAAGGTCAGATATCTAACATATGGATTGGTAATTACAGATATAAAAATGGTATTTCAAAAATTAACAGGAATTCTAGATCTTTTTTTTTTTTTTTTTTTTTTTTTTTTTTTTTAACAATTAACAAGTGACCTCTACTGTATTTCCACGTGATTTAAACCAAACAAAGAAAAAAAGGTCAAGGTCAACACAGCTGCATCTACAAACAGACAAATGTTGATGCAAAATAATGATAGAAATATCACATTTGTAGAATAGATCACTCAGTGTCTGCAAAAGCTATAATTAAGAAAATCTATGAGCAAGCTGCTCTGAAATACAACATTGAATGTTTATGTTAACATCAGTCAACATAGCAGATGAGGAGAGCTTATGAGTAGATAAAGGAATCAGTAAATGGAAAAATAATCCTACAAACTGAACGCTTACCTATTTGCTAGGAGGTGAAGGAAAGAGTTTCATGACATAAATGCAACTGATAAAAATGTGTAAAAGGGGGAACAAAATTCAGGGCTACAGTTAATGAATCTGAAATCTAGAAACATACTGAAAGAGTACTGCTTTTTAACCAGTTGACCACATTTCAAATACCAAAACTATTCATAACTTTGAATTAGACCAACTGAGACAGTTTTCAGTAGTTTCTGTTACACTAACATGAAATATGTACAAACAGAGGCAATAATAATATTTCACATATTCAGGTAACAAAAGATGAAATGTCTGCAACTAGCCTTTGACGATTACTGGTTGCATTATTCATCTTGTAAGAACAGTGATAATGCTTTTTAAGTTTGGCTTCTTTCTTCAAAATCATATAACATTGTATTCAATCACTTAGTATCTTACAGGAAGAAAGAAAACGCAGCATTTCAAGAAACAATTCAGAAAGTTCCCATTCATATCAAATCAAGTCCTATCAAAGCTTTAAAACTGAAGTAACTGTAACCCATACTTTATTGAATAAAATACTCCCAATGAATCTGTAAAAAACATCAATTGGGTATCTGTCCTACTGGAATTTCCTTCTAACTATTGCAGTATAGATAAACATATGTCATAAAAATGCTATTCTGGTAAAGAGAAAATATGTAGAATATTTGTAAAATGCCATGGAATGAATAAGTCACTTTCAAAACAACAAATGACATTTGGAGGCAAACCATTCAATTATTAAGATCTAAAGCCACCTGTAGAGTATGCAAACAGCAGTGACAGATTCTACTTTGTCAGCTGTATAAAAAGCTCATTCCTGTACGTGAGCTAAAATAAGCGGGCTTGCCACAAAACACTTGGAAATTAATAGCAACAAAATAACGTTAGCTTTTATTTCAAACTACAGAGAAGTATTAATATAAATAATTTTGTCTTGCAATTATATAGCACACCATAAAGCTAGCTGTATATTTTGAATGGATTCTTTCTCCCCATCCAGATAATTTACATCCTTCTGTAGTGTCTGCCTTTCAGGTCAGGCCTGAGGAAATCTGGGGCAACAGAACCCAAGTCTGTTACTCGAGCAATAAAAGAGTGAGATAAATTAATCTAGTTGGCCTTAAATGATCACTACAATTTTTGCCCATGTATTGGGAAACTCAACAACTTGAAAGATAAATTATTCAATTTGACATGAAAATCTGAACAAGATTTGCATTTAACACGTCTTAAACTTTGTCCTTGAGAAGATCAGAAATGGAAATGATAATCTAACAGTCCTACAGCTTTACTTTCATCCTTCCAAGAATCCAGAGACTAATTTGCAAAACCAATGAAAATTATAAAGTAAAAATTATGGAGTGAAATATGTAAGAATGGGAGACCTTTGCCATTTGTTTGGTAGTGTTAGTAAGCTGGAGGCTCCTCCAGGCACACAGACCTCCACAATTCACTGTAAAGAAGTTCTTGCGGAACATTCATGCAAAACTTCCTATGCTGCAGCTTATGCCCATTTCCACTTGTCCTGTCTCCACTCACCACTGAAAAGAGACTGGCCTCACCACTATGGCCCCCACACCTCAGATATTTATAAACCTGGATCAGATCCCCTCTCAGTCGTCTTTTCTCAAGGCTAAATAAACCCAGTTCACTCAGCCTTTCTTCATAGGGGAGATGCTCCAGGCCCTTCACCATCTTTGTGGCCCTCCACTGGACTCTTTCCAAGAGATCCCTGTCTTTTTTGTACTGGGGAGCCCAGAACTGGACGCAGTACTCCAGATGAGGCCTTACCAGGGCAGAATAGAGGGGGAGGATCACCTCCCTCGACCTGCTGGCCACGCTCTTTTAAATGCACCCCAGAATGCCATTGGCCTTTTTGGCCATAAGGGCACACTGCTGGCTCATGGCCAACCTGTCATCCACCAGGACCTCCCTGGGCAGCATCTTCCAACACCTCACCACTCATAATGTATATAATATATAATATACATTATATTATTCCTGTACATATTGTACTCTTCCTAATATATTACATATACATATGCATATATTATATATACATATATATATATATGTGTACCAGACTGGTTGTGGCTCTGGGCAGCCTGGTCAAGTGGTTGATAACCCTGCACATAGCAGGGGGGCTGAAACTAGATGATCACTATGATCCTTTTCAACCCAGGTCACTATGATTCTAGAATTACTATTC